GCCCCGCTTCCGCCTCGGGAAGGGGGGTGGGGAGGCCCGGCGGCCTGGCAGGTTCATTTACGCTTGTTAGGACGTCCCAGGGGGTTGTCTTTCTCCCCGAACGGAGTGTTTATTTTTTAATTGATGTGCTGTTTCATTTAGCGCTTGTGTGGAACTCATGCTGGGGCTGTAATTACTGTAATCTCGGGAACAAGCATTTCAGTGAGCCCGGAGGGTGGCACCAGCCTCCTCCCTCTCCCGCGCTCCCCCTCCTTCTCCCTCCTCACTCGCCCTTTCCCGGTCTCCCTCGGATATTCTCCCCTCCTTCCCCTCCACCCCGTTCTACCTCTTCCGCCCGCCTTTCTTTCGCTCTCTCCTTTTCTTTTTCTTTCTTTCTTTCTTTTTTTTTTTTTGTTCGTGATTTTCTGCTCTTGTTCGCGTTTCATGCCAGGAACAAGCAGAAGTAGGGAACACAAGTTGCCAAGGGCGTGGGGACTGAGGGGTCAGATCAGGAGTTTTGCTGCCGTTCGTTGGCGGCTCTCCCTTTAAAAAACAACTCTTCGCAGCAAAACAAAATCAGCCAGCAGCGTAGGTCCGCTACCGGAGCTGGCGGATCCGTCTCCGCCCCCGTCCTCTCCAGCTGCGGGCGCAGCCTCCCTCCGAGCCTCGCTGCAGGCCGAAGGGCAGAAGCACCTCCGCGGCAGCGAAGTTCGGTTTTCGCCCTTCCGGACGAGGCCACCACGTTATAGTCACACCCTCCATCGTGGCTTTTTGTTTTTTCACTGAAATCTAGTTAGGACCTCTCCAAACTTTTGTTTTGGAAAGAACTTAACTCCGTAGGAACCCGCAATTCAAAACTCCAGAAATATGTGCCCAACCAGCAGAAAACGGACCCTTAGGAAATGCAGGCTCGACCTTAACGTTTTCTTTTCTTTTTGAATCGATCTTCCTCTACTTCGGAATTTCCATTTGGGGTGTGCTGAAGGTAGCCAGGCACCGAGGTCTTCGGTGGGAACCTTGCTCTGGTGGGCGAATCCCCAGCCCACTCTGCGGCACCTGGGAGTCGGAGGTCCACGCACAGCACCGTGACGCAGCCTCCCCGTGAGACCTGCACAACCCCCCCAAGGGGCGGAGCTAGTTTCCAAGAGCAGCGCCTCGGCCAAAGTTTGTACTGCTTGTCTTCAGCAGGGAAATGTCAAATAGTGAAGTTTAGAATTACACTATATAAATGTACTAGAATTAGGCGAAAGCAAGCTGACATTTGAAAATTGATGCTGGAAATAGTTGACTTTGGCATTGTGGTTTTTTCTTTCTTTCTTTTGAGACAAAATGAGAAGTTTGATGATGTGGAACTTGGAAATTTTTAGTAAGCTTGCATGAAAAAATAAGCAGGCAAAAAGTTCAGACATTCAAATATCAGGCTATTTGCAGGATAATACTGATTTGTGACATTAAAACCACACATAAAAATCGTGAAGAATTTACTCTTACTTGAGAAAATATAGCAAATTTTTAACTTAGCTCTCCTGGGCAGTCTTTCAGAGAAGAGAATTATAAAATCAATCAGTGTCAGTCAGTCAGCTAAAAGACACCACACCATTAGTCTATGTTGCCAGCTAAATGATGACATTTTCTTTGTATTTAGGAAAGCAGTTATATTTTAGGGAGAGAATAGTTTTAGTGACATAAATAACAGGAAAACTACAGGGATTTCGGAAGAGTTGTTGCGAATGGCATTTAAACATAATATTGTTTGGGTCAGCTTTCCAATACTTTCATAGCAAATACATGAGATGATTAATTTATAAAGAGCAAGGGTTGGTTTTGGCTTGCAGGTTTAGAGTTCCTGTCCATGTTGGCCTCGTTGCTTGTGGTCCTGTTGTGAGGCAGCTTAGCCTAGTGGGGAATGCGTGGTAGAGGAAAGCTTCTTCCCTCATTGCTGAAACACAAGAAAGAGAAATGCCTGGGGTCCTCCATCCCCTTCTGGGCACATCCCAAAGACCTAACTTCCTTCCACTAGGCTCCACCTCTTAACATTCCACCACCTCTAGATCTGTCACAGGATGGGGACCATGCTTTAAATAGGCCTTGGGGAACGTTGTAGACCCAAATGATAGAACCGTTGAAGGCATGGATCCATGTCAGAGAAAGAGGTTTTACAAGATACCGAATACCAAGTTAGACAGGAGACTAGGTACAGCATCTGTCTGAAATTTAGGAAATGTTGAAAAAATTGTTTTAGATTTTTTTTTTGGCACCTGAGATCGAACTCAGGACCTTGTGCTTTCGAGGCAGGTGTGGTACCTCTGAGCTAAATCTCTGGCTCCATCCTAAGAAACTTGATACAAGGGAGGACCTGACATATACTAATCAAATTATGTGTTTCAAAGATGACACTGGGAAAGTATTTGTAATTCATTAAATGACTCAGTGTTATATTAAACTCTGATTCTTCCAAAAGCTTGTTTTTCTTTCAGGGAAATAGTGAAATACTATGTTATAGAGACTATATTATATTATAGAGAGCCTTGCTCTATCAGGTAATATTGGGTATCTTGGCATTTTTAAATCCCTCTTTCAAAGGATGATGTCTTCAGTCCGTAAATGGAAGGAGATTTAGGGGTTAACTGATCTTACTTCAATCTCTACTAGAATTAGTATGGGTGTTGTAGTGTGGATCTTGAATATTCCCCAACTGCCCATGTGTTGAAGGCTCAGTTTCCAGCCCCTAGCACTACTGGAAGGCCCTGGAACCTGAGGGTGTGAGAACTAGTGGGAGGATGTAAAGTCACTGGGGGTGTATCTTGAACTAGAGCGTGGGCCCTCGGTGCCTCCTTACCCTCTGTCTGTGCTCTCTGGTTGTGGTGGGGTGAGCAGCTTTTCTTTAACACACGCTCTCCGCCATGGTGTGCTGCCTCACCACAGGTCCAAAGCAACAGAGCCAGATAATCATGGACTAGAACCTCCGGAACTGTAAGTCAAACTAGATGTTCCTTCTTTTAAACTGGATTGTCTCTGATATTTGTTACAGTAATGGAAAGCTTACTAACATGGTTGAGATTATTTTCAAATTTTTCCACACTAACCATCAACTCTATAAAAGGTCTCCCTCCTCTACTTTCTGGCCCACCAAGAGAAGGATCTTATAGGAGGGACATACACGGCTGTGTCTTCTGTAACATGCAAATGTGTGGAAATGAAGAGGTACCATGTGCCACTGGTTTGAAATCAGATGCTCACATTGTAGCAGCTGCCATTTGGGAAAATGGAAAATACACTGTCACCAGGTAACTTTATTTTAAAATGTGTCCTAAAAACCAGTAATTGGTTTGTTTTCCTCATTCAGGTTGGAATATTGACCCGTTTAGTTTGGGAGATTTGGGGTTCAATAAAGATCTTCAAGTGGCTTAGCCAAGAGGACACCTCATGTTTCATGAAAACTAGAAGCAAGAAATTCACCTTTGGCTCCTTTCACTACTGGAGCCTTCTGTCATGGAACCATTATGCACTGAGAAACAGCAGCCAAGGCAGAGGGTGAGACAGGATCTTGCCCTAGGAGGCCCCCACCCCTGTTAGAAAATAAGACCTTTCCTGGAGGCCCTTGATTAACTGCCCCGCAGGGCACACTGGCCTGAACCTTCCTTGTGGCTGCCCTGAACTGCAAGAAAGGCTGGGGAAGTGAAGATCTGGTGAGTAGCTTGAGATATGGGGCTCTGGTGATGAGGAAGGAAACAGGAGGATGACCCACGGTGTTAGCTGTATATTACTATATATGCAAGAAATGATTTATTTATTGGGTAGCATGCCCAGGCTTTAAGCATTACTTTGTTCTGGGTTAGGAATGAAGTATAATCTCAATCCAAGGACATCTTATTTGCCCTTGGTACTGGGGATGGAACCCAGGAAGCCCTGACCCATATCGCCAGCTCTACCTCCCTTTAAAAACATTTTTTTTTGAGACAGGGTCTTGCTAAGTTATTCAGGTTGGCCTTGAGCTTGTGACCCTCCTGCCTCTCCCTCTAGAGTAGCTGAGATTATAGTAATGTGTCCCCGGCAGATCCAAGAAAATCTTGGCATTCACATATTTTCCCTTTCGAAGTTTATACAGTAGA